AAGACCTAAATAACATATCGGTAATTAAGTGACTATTCAAATCGTTTACCCAAATTTAATAAGCAGTGTTCTTTATTTCTGGACCAGGGTATGGAAAAACAAAATAAAGCACCTTCCCTTCCAAGGAATATTCCAATGCCGCGTATAACTTTGACCTCCCTTGCCCTTCCATTTCTGTAATGGTCCGCTCTACTTGTATTTCCAAAACTGTAATTTTCTTTCTTTTGACAAAAGAAGGAAAATAGTAGAATAATTATATTGTCAAATTCTTTTACGTGTTATCCAAGAATCAGGAGTTTGAGCAGATGCGTGAATCCCTTTTTAATATCTCATCTTTCTTTAACGTTTTTCGAATTGTATTTAAGGTTATCTTTTTAATAATATTATTTTTAAAAAACGAATAAAATTAACTATATTAAAAAAAAATTTGCATCTAACATGTATCGGTAAGTGTAGGTAACATTAATAATCACAATAAGGCCATAATTTCATTTACTCTTCTAAATCATGTTACATTTTACAAATTATATTTTAAATCCTCGCCAAATAATGATTCCCTGATATTATATTCATCACCTAGAATGTGAATAATTGCGTATAGAAAAGGTAAGTTCAGATTCCCTTCATATTTTCAGATAGCCATGAAAACTTGAATTGAGCTTTGATATTTAAGGTGTCCCAAAGTAGTCTTCCTAAATTCACCAATTTCGAAGGCAAATACTTTTAGTCTGTTATGGACAGTAACATTTTTACTTTTAAGAGAAAGAAATCAGCTGCATGGGTTAGTTTTGTTATTAGATCAATTTCTTTCTCATGATAATACCATTTTTGGGTGGGCTATCATATACCCTCGGTGTTAATATAAGAGAAATAAAAAAAAATGGCCAAAATAAAGCTTTTGAATTTTGCAATTAAAATGATGATCCCAAATCTTGAAACATGATCGGATTCGGAATCATAGATAGGCGTGAAATGTAACAGTTCTTTTATTAATCTGAGGTAAGTACAAACCGATATCTGTTTAAAGATAAATTTTAAATTTTTTGACATTGATCATTCACGCCCATGACATTTATGGTGCTCGAATTTGGATCCTTAGAAATAACAACAATTCCTTTACTATTGATATCTATAGTGCTCGCGGCACTATCAAGTGCTCATGCTTCCTGGTGTCATCAAATTCCACCCGTTGGATCCACCCCGTGGATATCACCGAAAAATAAAAGAAAAACTAAAATACAGAGGCTTGGTTCCTTAAAACCCAACTCCGTATCCGAGCACCACGTGTGCAATTGAGAAAGGTGGCTAAAGGGTTCAACGGTCGACCGACCATCGGAGTTTGTGCCTAAAAATGGGGACAGACCAGCCAAAGCCGCCTGATGCTTTGGTTTTAAATTCCACGCAATAAAAACAAACAAAAAAGAGTTGGATAAAAGGGATTTCCTTTTGGATTTTACATGACAAATATTATATCCTGTCACGTTGGATTGAGATATTAAAATAATCTCAAAATTAAGTTGATTATAATACGGCATTTGTTGTAGTTGATGAGAATTAATGGCGTATCTCCTGTGAAAGCTACTAGCGGATAAGACTGCTGTTTAAGGTGTAAGACGGAGAATTTCATGTGACAATTTAGTCAATTTTATATTTAGATAAAAGACACTCATTTGTCTCGTTTGCGTTCCCCAAGCACAATTCTATGGTCTTATTTGTACATCCCTCATTGGCCAAGCTACACGCCTTATACCCCTCGGCAGATAGTAGGTGGAGAGTCGTTGAAATTGAACCAAATAGGAAAAAAATTTAAATATTTTATGTATCAAATGATCATAATAAAAGATGCACTCGATTTATATTCAAAGAAAACGTGTGGGGGATGAAAATCAGAGCAAAATGTAATGATGGGGTGTTGGTGATCTTTAAGGTGTGTTTATGTAACAGTAGAGAATTGATTGCTCATAAAAAGGGCAAAGAGAAAGGAATGATGTGTGAAAAGAAGCATTGAAATGAAATCCTTAATTTCCTTACCCAAAAGAGTTCACCATGGAAGCATGCGAAGGTAAGTCCAGTTTACGGGCTAATTTGTATGTGTATCATACCATTTTATCCACACACGCTGCCATTTTTCATAACTCATCCACATATCCATTTGGAACCCTTCTGCAATTATAATTAATTGTAACTAAATTCTATCATTACTCCTTATTTTATACGTAAGCTGTGAAAACAGTTTCTATATTTAATCGGTTGATTTTTTTATTCTAATTACTTTTACTTTTAAAATTTTGATCTTAAACTAAACAATAACCGTTTTTTCATTAATCATTTAGAAAAGCAATAATCATTAAATTGGTTACATCAGATTTTATTATTAATCCTCGCAACGACAAGGTCAAAAAGAATCATAGAGAGGATGGAGTTGAATGAATTTTTGAGGTCGTAATATAATTTTATTATTGTATTAATTCAAAATATTATACTTTTAAAAGAATTAAATCATAAATTTATTATTCTCGTCATATTTCTTTCTAGTTTCCACCCCAATCCGATAACCTAATCCTAATAGACCCCAACTAAACAGAATCCGATCTTCTCCTCCCTTTTTCTGTAGGGATTTCGCCGGGAAGAAGGGTACTTTCCCCCGCCATATACATTGTCTCTACATTATATCTATGAGGGATAAATTGAAGTCCCTCGATCACTAATTTAATTAATTATCTAGGTATTACATTAAAACACATAACTGATCTAGCCTAGAAGGTTACATGCTAATACATACAAAACTTAAATGGAATTTGTACTTCTGGATCTTATCTCTTCATTTACTATTTGAGGTGGCGTTTGACTCACATGCATGATAAAAATAGCTGTGGTTTAATTATTTACACACCCAAACCCAAGGGAAGGGCTGCATTATTATGGTTTTGGCCGTATGAATATCACATGAAAGGGAACTCCGTTCACACTGCGAACCAGTTATTAAAGCCTCCACCACACTCCGACCATGGATCGCTCATGCCTCATGCTGAACGCAACCGGCACTGTTCAATTTCCGTACAAGTAGTTGACCTACAGTTGCCCGTCGATCCTCTATTTATTGTTCTATCTCTTTTTTCCATTTCTTCATAGCCAGAAAGCTCACTTTCTTCTAAAACTCTCTTCCATTTCTTCTCTCTCTCACTAAACAAAAGCTTTCTCTTTCTCTGGTGGGTGTAAGTGGTTTTGATGAACAAAAACTGGAGTTTTTTTATTGATACATGGAGAGAAAAGAGGGAATAAAGATGGAAGATGTACTGGGAAACTCAGCGTGTTCACAATTCACGGTGAATAATTTCCCATTAGAAAGTATATTCGATTTGAGTAGCAATGAAGACGAGAAGATCGTCTCTTTAGGGTTTATGGACTTGCAGGGAGTTCAAGACTTGATCAGTCCTCCTTTCTTGGAGATCATGACAGCTGCACAACAGGTACCCTCTCTTATTTCAAGCCAAGTACCTCCCACGCCACCACCTTCAAAGAATATCGACTCTCCTCAGGCTATTAATCAGCCTGCCACTCCTAATTCTTCCTCGATTTCATCTGCATCAAGTGAGGCTTTTAATGAACCTGCTAAAGTAGATGACCAAGAAGAAAACCAGCAAAAAATCAAGAAACAGTGAGTTCAACTCTTTCTCTTTAATATAACCTTTTTCTTACTATTTATCATTCTTCCACTAAAGAGACAAAGATGGATCCTTTTATGAGTATGCTTGAGTCTGTAGTTATGTTTACACTTTACAGTTAAACAAAATCGCAATTTTTAAACTAATTTGGGAAAAAAACGAGGGTTTTGTTTTCCATCAAAGTGACTAGAAGCAGATGAAGATTTTTTGGATTTGGCGTTTAGGTTGAAACCCAAGAAGACGAACCAGAAGAGACAGAGAGAGCCGAGATTCGCGTTCATGACAAAGAGCGAGGTTGATCATTTGGAAGATGGGTACAGATGGAGAAAGTACGGCCAGAAAGCTGTAAAAAACAGTCCCTTTCCTAGGTACTAAACCTCGATCTTCAAACTTTTAACCTATTTTACTTCTTTTCACCAATTTAGGCAAAGTTTACACTGTTTAATTCCCCTAGGAGTTACTATCGATGCACCACCGCCTCATGTAATGTGAAGAAAAGAGTGGAGAGATCTTTCAGTGATCCAAGCAATGTGATTACCACTTATGAAGGCCAACACACTCACCCCAGCCCAATCGTGCCTCCTCCAAATCTCGGCGGTTCTCATTTGAGTACAGCCATGTCTGCCGCAGCTTTGGACATGCCAATGCAAAGGACTCCGCCTAACTATCACCAGCACCACCGTCAACAGCCATTTACCGATAGCTTGTCTCCTTCTAACTTTGGCCATAACATTGGTTCCATTAACAGTATTCTTCATGAGAAGCGTATTTGCACCCCGGGAACAGGACCGTCTTTGCTTGAAGACCATGGCCTTCTACAGGACATTCTACCATCCCATATGCTAAAAGAAGAGTAGCTTAGAAAAGATCAGTACACTGATATATGTATTTTTCTTGCTGACAGGTGCCAATTCCAATTTAAACAAACCTCGATCCATATTACTATACAGTGCCGGATGCACTAATCCTCATAGGGTCAAGTACATCCATTATTTGTGAAAAGTGGTTAAATTTAACTTAATGTTTTAAGAAAAAAAGAAAAAAATTAACTTCTTTTTCATACTCATTATTTTTAAGAAAAGAAAATTAAAATTTTGGACTCATTCTTAAATTTCGAGATCCGTCATTAGTTCTATATATAACCTGGACTTGGTTTTTTTTCTCATTTGGTGGCTTTGGATATGTAGAGATTATGCATCCAGGGGAAATTTGGTTATTTCTTCTTTAATTCTTTGTCCTATACCTTTTGTTTTTGGTATTACAAAACGAATATGCTTTGATTCCCATATGAAAGTAACTATTGCTTGAGGGCTATAGGGGTTCATCAGAGAACCATTAATGCGGATTTCCCTGCAAAAAACTTGTTAAGAGTTTAGTAGGAAAGAGAATGATGGAAATAAAACATATCCTTTTCTTGGCCTTGGGTCTACATCTCAAAGATTTGGTTCACTGAATGGTAAGATGGGGGATTCAGTGTATTGATGTGTTAGAGGGAAATTGAAGACATCTGCCTATTCACGCATGCACTATGTTTATATTATATGGAGCCATGATTCTTTTATTCTAATTACATCATGGGTCGCAATCCACAGTTTATTTGTGGTTGTAAATAGAGGCCATGTGAATACTCGGCACTGCTAAAGAGTGGCAGGTTGATTATTGGGAAAGAAAATTGCACAAGGGAAATTGGAAAATGAAGTGCCTCCTGCTATTAGTCAACAATACATAATCTATTCCAAGGGAAGGGCCTACTGCCTGCCTCCAGCCCAGGACTAGACCGTTTAATAATGATCATGGAAATAAGGTATTGCGTAAAGGCTTATCATGGTGCTAGAGATGGGCATGTGGGATGTTCAATCAGCTCTAACATTGAACTATCTAACCTCTTTTATAAAGCTAACGAATGAACGGTGAAACAAACGTCCATCAACACTAGTGTTTACGTGCATTAAATCTTTTGTCAAAACCGACTGTTATCCAATTAAAAACAAATATAATATTTTACCGACACATTAGAAAAACAAAGCATGCATGATTTAGGTTATAAAAGAAAATTAAAAGTTTGAGTGGCTATAATTTCATTTAGCAATTAACATTTGCTTGATTTATAGCAAAAAATAGATACCGTAAAAGAATTATGAGAGCTAAAACAAAGAAAACGTAACAAAAGAAACTTAGGGTTAGAGATGATTATCCCACAAATTACACATGCGAAACACAAAAATTCAACTCGCAAATATGAATAGCATATACCTGTTGTTTGGTGGGCTGCTGTCGGAGTATGTCGGATTTAGGAGAAAGATTCCCCATTTTCGCTCAAGACTGGAGCAAGTGGTACGGTATCTTTCGGGATGAAAACCCTAAGGGGTGTTTTCGATCTTTGCAGGTTGACAACTTTTTTTTTTTTTTGTTTTGGATAAATCTAATTTATTATCCAAGGAAAGCTACATACAAAAAACTAGAGCATCTAATAAAACGCGATACTCATCCCAAACAACAAAAGAATCAATCCAATAAACCCCAAGCTCAACAAAAAAAAAAAGAATTCACATAACCATTCCTGTTCACCTTCCTACCATGAAGCGTGAGCTGAACAGTGTTTTTAATCAAATGCGTAACATCCTCCACACTCCGATTCACATTCCTGAAAACCCTTCTGTTCCGTTCCTCCCAAACAAGATACACTAGCGAACTCCACGCAAGCTTAAGAACAAGCGTACGGAGAGAACGCCCTTTGAGAGAAGAAATCGCCCACGCAAGTTCAAAATCCCACGAACCTACATTTCTCCTGCAATTACACAAATCCAAAATCCTACGCTAAATACCTGCATAAAATTGACACTCAAAGAAAATATAAGACCTCGACTCAGCAGCCACACCACAAAGAATGCACTTATCGTCAACCATCAAACCCATCCTACGCAAGCGGTACTTGGTAGCCAACCTGTCAAGAAGAGCAAGCCAAACGATCCCGCTTGCTTAGGAACATGTAATAGAAACCAGACAAGTTTATGCCACAACTCCCTATTCTCCCTACTCCGAAACTCAATCCATAACTCTCTTGTAGAAACAGGATTCGTGCGAGGCAACAGACCACTCGAAGGTGAAGCCATACTTCTCAACGCAAAAACCTTTCTAAGGCTCCAGCTAAAATTGTTCTTCACTCCAAGGACCAAAAATCAGCCCTTTTAACAACGCATGCTTTCACCCATGCCACCCACAAGGAACCCTCATCCGCAAGAATGCTTCTCACCAAACGAAGAAAGCAAACTTTATTCCAATAATGGATGTTCTTCAAACCAAGCCCCCTTCTGACTTCTGCAAACAAACTCTACTCCATCTAACTTTCGCACCCGAAGCAGGAATGTCCTGACTCCTGACCCACTCTCTTCACCACAGCCTTGGGAAGAACAAACTGCCTGCACCAAAAATTCACAACCCCAAACAAAACCGAGCGCACCGGCTGCAATCTGCCAGCTAAAATCAGCTGCTTGCTGGATCATTGCTCTAACCGTCTACTAATTAACGGCTGACAATCATGTTCTGTCAGCTTCCTTGTTACTAACGACACCCCAAGATAAAACACCGAGAATGTGCCCGACTTAAACTCCGAACTAGCTAACATGGAACTCAATTCCTCAGCAGGAACGCCAGCAGAGAACAATTCACATTTTCCGGCATTAAGTCTAAGACCCGACATCTCATAAAAACAACTTTGAGAAAAGAAGTATTTCTTTTTTTACTTTTGACGGGATAACACCGTTTTAACTTTCTTTTTAGGAATAACTGCCTACATTACCTAAAAAAATTACTCTTAAAATTGCAAAAAATATATACATTATTAATCCATTATTATTTATTATTGTTAAGACGATGTGGTGAAAATTATTTGGTTGAAATTTTTTAATTTTTAAGCTATTCAAAGTTACAATATATATATTTTCAATTATTTTATTGTATATATAAATTAAAATTATGTTTATTTTTAATAATTTTTAATTTAATAAATTACCCCATTATATTTTTTTATCATATTGTGTGTTTTTTTATTGTCATGTTATATCATTTTAACGAAAGAGTTATAGTGAAATACATCAAGTGACCTCAGTGGTAAAAAGATATTATTCTTTCAAGAAGTTTTGGATTTAAGCAACTGTATTAGTAACATATGTGTGCATTGTCGATTAATTTAAAAAATTCTGAATATATATTATCTTGTAATCACACTAAACTATTAGAAAAAAAATATTGACCGGGAATAAGAGAAAGAAAATATTTATGATTTATGTTCACGTTTTTTTTTGTGTGTGAATGGATGGGGCTAAAATCTGAATAGTAGAGAGATTGAGAAGGGAGAGAAAAACAATGGCAGATGCAAGTAGAAGTGAAGGTGGTCAAGTGGCCACCCTAAATTTCAAATTTTATTCGTTTAATTATCTATTTTATTGATTAAACCCACTCTAAATTTTTTATTTGTGCCTGACTTCAAACAAATTTTATATAGTTAAATATGTGTGTCCAAAATATTTCTGAATCTATCATTGAAAAAAAATTATATCTTGATTTCATGCTAATCAAAATAATACCATAAATCAAATCAAAATAAGATCAAAATGAATTTTATCAATTTTAATGAAAAAAATTGATAAACAAAAATGAATGAAAAAAGTGAGTATTTTGGTACCGATTACATCGTAAATGTTTATTGATGGAGGTTAAACAACAGTATAAAAAATGTCAGCCATAAAAGAGAAGAATATTAAAAGTTTAGGTCAATTTCAAAAATAAAAAGTCCAAAATGCAATGTTTTGACGCTGATATTAAAACTTAACAGTGAAATGATTAAAAGAAGTGAAATTTGACAATTAAGTGATGAAATTGTTTTTTTAAAGATTAACTGACTAAAATGAGAACAGTAACAAAGTTAAGTGACAAAAGAAGTAGTGTACCCTTAAAAATTTGGTAAGGTTTGTGTTGCAAATCAAAGGACCGGCCATCGAGCTTACGTAAGGGGTGACAACATTTTGATAGAAACTGAACATTTTTCAGCCCACGGTTCAATTTTTCAATTCCACTACCACGTTTTATACTTGGAAGGAAATAACAACGTGCTGCATCTAGAAAAATAAAAACAAAAGATTCAACGATTTAACACGATACAGGTATATTATCTTATAATTATCTTAGACTAGTAAAAAAATTTAATACTAAATCTATTGCATATATAATCCTATAATTATGCTTTAATCCGACAAGAGTCTAAGTCCAGCACTAATAGAATGGATTGATTCTTTTGGAACTGGACATGGTTTCAAGGGTTTCGGCAGTTGGTGCTCGGAAACTTACAGCTAACTTTGAAAATGAAATGTGGAAGGCAGCATAGGAAAGGAATATTAAGGTTAGGCATTTATTTTTTGAAAAAAAAAATATAGTTTTAAATTCCATCATTGATCGACGACAAAGGTACGTTTTCTAGAATCTCCAAGTTGCAGCAGTCGGGAGATGTAATTCTTTGCTCGGATAAACGTTAAGAAAAAGTGGGGGAAAAAACAAGAGGATTCACGGTATGTCTCCACTGATTCTGTTCCCACCTTGCGAGGGAGTTTTTCATCCATTTCTCTAGCGGAGACATAATATCCTAACACCACAACGTGTCGTTTTAATTATCAAATAATTAACCTTAATCTCAAAATAGAAATAATAAAAATAATTAGAATACTGAGAGTAAAGGTCAATCCGCAGGGAATACGAAATTGTTGATAAGTTGATTCTTATCCTTGGACTAGGCGTGAACTGCAAATGAAAGTACGGGGTTTCTTAATTGTAAATAAAGAAAATAAAATTGAAGGGAAGTAGAGTTGAATTAAAATTCTAATTATAAAAATCAGCCTCGGTTTTCGCTTTACCTCAAATTCCGTCGATAATCGAAATAGATTTTTCACTTCGGATTCATGTCGGTTACAGTCTATAGGGCACAACCCCTATAACTTGTTTTTCTATCAATTGAACTGACAATCCAAAACAATCTTTGATTCTAAGTCCTTATGTGGACTAATCATGATTATCGTTATGAGCGCCACTCGATTTTAAAGCTTTGGAAAAACCCGACTCGAATAGTGTCTCACTGAGAATCGAATCCAATCTCAGTTCCATATAACTTAATGCCGCTAAGTGTGTTCCTAAGAAGTCGAACATACTACAAGTCGATTCTTCCTCCCAACTATTAATCGAAAACACTATCAATCCAACGTGCACTTTTTAAAAAGAAAATATTTTTGATTTTAAAATGATGGTCAATTACCCATCCTTGATTCCACAAAACTGATAATGTAACCCGAAGGGTATTACACGTTTTTCAATTCTCATGATCGGAATTGAGTCATCGCTTCAGCCTTTAACTATAAAAAATTTAGCTAAGTATGATAGAAATCATACTTAACATTTTAAAAGAAAATAAAATAAAAGCTTAAAAATAAAAATTAAAGAGAAAAGTAAAAACTTTTATAAAAAAAGAAAACAAGAATAAAGTAATGCAAGGGTATTTATAGTCCTCAAAAACTCTAAAATTCCTATGAGATAATTCCTAATAAATTTCCAAAGATAATTCCTAAAAATCACAAAAGATAATTCCCATCATTGTTTGAAATAAATTTCAAAAATAAAGATAAATCTTAAATTCACGTTTGGATTTGTGGCTGAGAGTTTCATCTTCACGAAAATGCTGACTGAACCTTCTAGAAGATGCTGACTCGTCACCACATCAACGAATTCACTCCCCAAGTCATGCCCATTTGTCCAACCATGATTCCAGAAAAATAAAAACTTGCAGAATTTGTTTTTTTTAGCATAGTTTCTGAAATCTAATGTTCTACACAGAAAATAATATAAAACGCCCAATTTGGTAACATAAACCGATGAAAAAAAGAGTAATTATCAATAAAATGATAACTAAATTAAGCTCTCATCACACAAATTAGTTAACATTCAATTACCAACTACGATTCTTAATTTAAATCAAAAATACATTAATCACTTGTATCAATCTAACCCATTTGTTTCTATCAACTATTTTAAATGTCTTCTGATGATATTGGCTCCATCAAGAAATTGTGTATGTTTATAATTTAATAAAAATTAAACTGTGAAAGTTGGAACAGGAAAAACCGAAGAGCATAGCACCCTCTAATTAGTGCTACATATCCCTGTAAACTCTGACTGTGATGCGTGAATCATTTACATCCCAATATTGTGGTGTTAGCTGAAATTTAAATCAGATAACAGTCACGTAGTTGAATTCATGTCATTAGTGATGAGTCCTTATCATGAAGCTGCTGCTGTAAAAACCAAATATTCTCTTCATTCCACACCGTCTCCATCGACGACTCCCCACCACCACCAACCGACCAACCATTGCTATGCTCATCCGTCGCCTGGAGTTCAAGCACCGCATCATCTCCGCCCCAAGTTCCCGCTGTCACGTAGTTCGAAACGCTTTGTGGATTGTAACAATCCGTTGGGTCCGACACGGAAGAGACTTGGGAGTCCGATGAAGCGCCCGATGATTCGGACAGGAGACTCGAGTCAACCTGGACCGACCCAGACTCAGTCATTATACCGGTGATGGTGGAAGGTTGACCCGTGGTTGACTGGGATGAAGCACGAATCCGTTCGATCAGACGAGGGATCCAAACGTAACGCATGGCGTCCTTGAATTGTTTGCTGTTAACGTCGCATTTCATCTGCTTCGCCTGCTTCTGGACCCTTGTTCTCCAGTAGTTCTTTATTTCATTGTCTGTCCTTCCGGGCAAGTGTTGAGCAATTTTCGACCACCTTGAAAGATCAAAATGAGCTAAACCATTCATGATTTCACACGTTTATTAAATTCCAAAAACAAAGGAAAAAAAAAACCTGTTGCCCCAGCGAGAATGGAGTTCAAGAATCAATAGCTGCTCTTCCAGGCTGATGTTTCCTCGTTTGATTTCTGGTCGCATATAGTTCAACCATCTCAATCTGCAGCTTTTTCCCGTTCTTCTCAATCCTGCAAACCCATCTCACATCACAATGTGCCAAATTACAAATACAAAGATAGAAATTTTTGAGGTTCTACGAAAGT